GTCATCACTATATCGCATGACGTGCCCGGCCCATCTGATTTTCGACTTCTTGGCGTAATCAACGGCATCCCCGTTCTTCGTTCATCGACGAAGTTCGCAACTCCGGATTCCCTTCTGCACTTGCGTGTGTAGGGAAATCCCGAATAGTCCTTCTCACAGCACGCCGAATGACGCTAACTGCATGCTCATCCTGATTTCGTAGAGTCCAAGTCTCTGAGGCGTATGTCAAAGCAGGAAGGGGCGCACTGTCGAAAAGGTGAACGCAGATCCGGATATTCTTCGCATTCTTCACTACTCTCTCAATGTTTTCAGATGCTACCAACACCGCGCGCGTCCTTCTGCTCGGTTTCAGTGCTATTTCGTTCGTCATATTAACTTTGCGACCCAGATACACGTAGCTGAAGCATTCAAAATGCTCGTTACATTCAGCGTGAAGAAAGCATGAGGGACCAATCCGTTCCGCATGAACATCGCATTCGTTAATTGCAGTCGTAATCGGATCGTTCCACAAGCCCTGCCAAACTCGTCTAGCATTCATTCTGCCTGCTCGATGTTCGCTGGTATGAGCACGATGTCATGTGCAAATCGGAGACTATGTAAGTACCGGCCTTCACCACCATGCCTTCCTATTCCATGTAACACAGGATGTTCTGAGAGCGGCACTGAGAAGTTTGGGCGAGATGGTATCGCCTCGTCGAACCCTCTCTTCACCTTGATGGCTTCTCTATAGAATGGCGAGAACCGGTCGTGAAGTTGTTGTAGAGCTCAGGAGGCATCCTTATTCATTGAGCAGCAACACCCTGGTTGCCCTGGGCCTTCTGTCTCGTCGGTATCAAACTCTTTCTTCAAACCGAAATAAACGGTAGACATAACGGCATTTCGTACTCAATGCTATAATTCAATGAGCCTTGTAACGGTGTGGATGTAGTCGATAGTACTGAAACCTCTCCGCAACGCTGCTTTCTTGCATGGCTGACCCTAATTTGATATTCTGCCAATCCTGCTAGGGATGACTCATGTGACAAGGCTGTAGAATACAGACAGCAGGTAAATTGGGCGATAATTGCCAATATCATCTGGATCTCCCTTCTCATACAGCAACACGGTCCTGCTAGTTTTCAACGAAGTGGGCACTCCGATAGGTACCGTGGGAAGAACTGAGCCAGGGTTTTGACAATATTTGGCGAACGGCCTTTTAGTTGTTGCGGTTTGATCCTACTGGATCAGTACCGACAGTACCGACATGATGGCAAGATCCGGCAGGCTTTGCAAATGCGCTCGCGCTTCCCAGCTCCGGCTGCATGAACCAAAACTGCTGCTCTTTTCTCTTTCAGATCGTCCTTTATCGCTTCTCTGCATATCTTCGCAAGTTCGGACGTCAGCTGGTTATTGCCTGCAGCTCGCGCGATTCCACGCTGGCGTAACAGCTCGCTAGTCTCGGAAGAGAGACTTTCCGTGTCGAGCCACCAGCCGATAAAGACATATGATCTAACCAGGTTTTCGATTTTTTATTCCTTCGGAATATACGATGTGGCTTTCACATTTTGGTTCGTTCTGTAGACAAGACTGAATGATAGAGTATGGAGATAAAAGTTCGTTAAGTGCAGTGATAATGACCGGCCGAAGTCGATACCATATCTAGATTGCGACAACTACGCCTCAAGGTTTGTCACAGATTAGGGACAAGGCATTTTCTTTAGTTCGGTATCAGCTGAAACAGAGCATACACAACCCCTAATAATCTGACAATCTCCACCAATGATTCATAATCATAAAGATAATATGGCTATAAATATGGGCTTCCGATGGTGGTGCCATCATCGACAGGTAGCATTGGTAAGCATCATTCTAGACAACGACTGACTTATTGTAAGCGAACTGCTTGGTTGCAGAAAAGTCGATGCTGCGGTGGACAAAGTCAAGTGGAGGATAAAATACTTCCTATAGGCTATTGTTAAGTTCGAGGGAGCTTGGCGAAGATTTCGTTTAAGGAGCGTATCGGATCTTTGTCGAATTTGTGGTGCACGCATATGTAGTCGGATGACCCCAGACGACGACCGGCGACGCAGTAATTTCGTACTCAGAGATGAAAAATTAGTTTCAGAGAAAACGTTAGTTCAACCTGCAGTCTGACTTTGTAACAGTAAGGAGAGGTACTCGGTGAAGATAAAATTTCGGAGCTGTTGACTCCCCCTGTTGAAAACCTATTTGTATGAGTGAATCCCACTCTGTTCGCGAGAATCAGTTCTGTTCTCTATGGCCCCTGTTCCGTTAAGAGTGCATACACTAAGGCAGTTTAACGCAAAAATTTTACATAAAAGAAAATTTCTGTTAATCTTCCTCACTTCCATCAGACGATGCTCCTTTGCGTGGTGGCGGTGGTTGTCCTTGGCCATCCTTTTGGGGTGGCGGCGCCGGTGGTGGTACTTCTGGAGGTTTTGCGTCTGGAGGTGGGGGATTGAAGTAGTCGATATCTCCCGACATATCTGTGAGGAGTAATAAAGTATGTAATCTGACAAGGGAAACATTTTAGTGTTCTCCGCAAATTAAGAATTTCTAAATCATCAGGCAGTTAAACACATCAGTTGCTGAACAAGTCTGACTTACATTTTAAGTTTATGAAGAAGGAAACCGAGAGGCAATCAGTGTGCGACTGCTTCCTCTTCTGACTAGTGATGAAACTATTCAACTAGCAAAATGGCTCACTCTAAATTGTTTTCACTCACATCACCGCTGCGCAGTATCACTTATCTTCACGCATGTTATCAAATCACATCATCTATCAAAGCATATCAAAAGCTCTAAGGGGTGAAGGGATTTTGCTCCTAATGATTCCTAACCGGCCCTCATCAGTCACAAAACTTACCTAATACATTGTCTGTCTTGCCACTCCCTGATCCATGCACTAAAGAACCAAGGCTCCGCTATTAAGATGTAAGGGGGCGTGAACTAATAGCACTTGAATATTAAAGGCACAGTTCACGAGAATTTGAGGGGCGGGAAAGCCCCGCTTTTTCCTCTGCCATTCTTTTTGCTGCCGCGATCCCTTATTTGATTTCCTACTCTTAGAGGCTGAAAAAGGTGAGCTACTTTGGTTGTTACTAGGGTTTTTTGTTTACTTATAAGTCATTCACAGTCACAACACCTATTCACTCAGTTTCTTCATCTTCATCGCACTATTTCCGATCTTGCTTTCCATTTTTCATCATAATCTGGATTACCCAGAGTTATCGTGAACTGTGCCTTTAACGCTCACTATCAGTTATTATCAATTCCTAGCATCTCTTGTCAAAATCCATCTTCGAAATCACATACGCCAGATTCTTTATCGAAATATCGAAATGCGCCAGTGAACCAAATGATATACGCAGCAAGTGACCTGTGTTTTTGTGGCTCCGTGTTATCCTTATGAGACGTGATCAGTTCCTATCACCAACCATCCTTATGCCACCTATCCAAAAAACGCAAGGTTTCTCCGCCATCATGCGAGCCGTAACACACTTATCAGTTGCTATCAGATTCTATCACCAATCATCTACAACTGCATCTACATTACGTATTTAAACGCACATTAGGTATCTAAACGTTAAGATTCCTTTTTCACCTGGTGGAGAAGCTAACGACTATAGTTTTCGACTTATAAGGCTCTTACAATGGATCCTACCTGCTGTTATAGATTTCTGTCACCGAAGCTTACTACCCCACTACAACCACCGCATAAGAGGCACAATTCATGATAATGGTTGGAAATGGGTTGCTGGTGCAGCGCGTTTCGGCGACGAAAAGAGCAAAAAATAAGGCTCTTCAGATAATGTCCTTGTTGTTTACCTTTACCTTGTTTACAAGTGGGTCTTGGTCGAGTAGTCCCGTGGACTATGAGAGCAGCCAGTTCCTAATATTTCGACGTTTTTCCCTCCAAAAGGCAGAATTGCTTACCCCATGGCGATAGTGAACAAGAATAACTGGTTTGGTATTGCATTAGTAGTTGCCCACAAACTTAGGCGGTGCTGTGAGAAGTTCTTTCTGCACAAGGGCGATCCTCTCAAAGTTTGTCCGCCAAGGAAATGTAATGTATGTAAAGTGTCTAATGGAAAATATCTTACAGCAGACTTAGCCGTAGTTGAATGTTGTGAACGTTTGCGGTTGTGGTATCTTCTACATGAACCATCACCCTACAGGGTAAAGCCCAGAATCCCCTGGGTAAGGGCATTTCCTCATGAGCTGTTGCACACACAGCAAACGGCGTCAACAGTGAACGCCAATTGAATCTACTCCACTCGCTCTCTCTTTCAGTTTCTATGCTTTTGTGAATCACCTCAGTACCTTTGCGAGATCTCGGTCAGCATTCGAATAAATCGATAGATATTCAATACATATGTACATTTATCATACTTGTTAAAGCGTTGTTATTATCGTTCTATTTTCTGAAATATCTTTGAAGTGTTCGGTAGAGATGTCTTCAAATCTTTGACACATTTGTCCACATCAAGGTATTGCAATGCTAGACGCGTCGTCACAGCGAAGTTTCCCTCTCCTGCAATTCCGCAAATGGGCAACTATCCTCAGAAATGGAGATATTCGACAAAAATTCTATATACCAATATCGAGGCGAATCTCATTCGGGTCGACTCCACAGGCGCGAGAGATCCGAACCCCTTTACCATAGCTGAGCTCTTCGATGGCGTTTTTGATTTCAGGCCATAGCATGTCCATAATCATTCCTGAAATTTACCATACATACAAGCTGACTTTGGCAGTGCCAAACACGAATTTTTTACCTCTCATGAGGTCTTGCATGAAAATTCCCCATGATTTTGGGAACGCACCGACTTCCATTTCGATATTCGTGTCCAGAAGTTGAACGAGAGTCCTTAAACATTACTGCTGTCTTTCTACATATAAGGTTATCGGAACCGTATGCCTCATATTGTCATTTATGCTCTACTTTAGGAAAAAAGTAGAAATATTTGCCTGCCCATGTTGACAGCTTTTAATGATGAGCAACGTGGCCGTTTGAATTGCAAACAAGTCCGTGTTTATGTAGTGAATAAATAAATAAATAAATAAATAAATAAATAAATAAATAATCAAATAAATGTTCGGCTTGACTTGCGAAGCCATGTTTCATAATAGATGACTTTCAGAACTGAAAATTTTGGGAAACGCAAAACTGCCTCTGAAGCTTTCTCTACTATTGAGCATAGCGTATGTAGTCGAAGCGGTGCGACTCGTTAGCGCTGTTTAGGAAGAGCGATCCTCAAGTAGTTTTGTTGATCGGCAAAAGTAATTTAAACGAAATAGTTCGAAGCATGGCAGAAAGCAGGAGAGCAGTGAGGAGTTATCAACGAACTCTGTGCAGCCGGCTTGTCAGGATTGACAGGGAAGCATTCCTTTTTTCTAACAATATGTAAAGGTGTAGGGCGGAGGTGGTGTAGTGGCAAGTGGCGCACTATATCACACGCACGGTCAGGGGTTCGAATCCCTGATCGGTGCCCGCCTAGGCCAACCAAGCCTTCCATCCCTCCGGGGTCGGTGAATTGGTACCAGACTCGTCTGGGAGGATAAAAGCACTGACTTGTACATCGGCTGGCCACCGCAAGTCATTGTATAGGCCACATACGCACTCATTACGCCACTACGATTCTGAATGGAAGTCGAGTGCGGGGGCGCATCCCTCAGACGGGACTGATTAACGCCAAAAACTTTATCCTTTATCCTTTTTATGTAAAGGTGTGGAAAAGTAGACAGAGTTGATCTCACTAGAAATTTACCAACAAGGTTCTTTTCCCTCTCATGGCTCAGTCGAGCTAAGAAATATTCTCTGGGACAGCTGCGAGGAGTTCAGGAGCCAGAAAAAGTATTGTTATGGTATAGAAAAGGTAATTTTTGGTAAAATGATGTCAAAAAATTGATTGAAAAATTGTGAAGGGTCCTGTAACGGGATTTTCATTAGATAACCAGACGAAAATAAATGGAACTTCTGTCTCAACAGCTAATTTTAAAAGAAAATTTGTGAGTGATAGTGGAAGTATCGAAGTCCTAAACCTCAAGGACGCTATGCACCTCTGGTGGAAAAGATTGTACCAAATAACGTTGCACGATCACGGTAATGTAATTTCCAAACCTCAGAACTCCTCCATCGAATGACGGGCGCATTTCAGCTTGAATTGTGAGAACGAACGAGACGAACACAGAGGTGAGATTTCGATCAGGATTCACCACTCTCAGATGAACGCGGTCTCGTCTGTAGTTGACATTCGATCAAACCAGCTTTTCAATTTTAGAAAGAGTCAAAAAGAACATAAGAAGAAGAAGAACAGTAAGAAGAAGTCGAACAATAGCTTGTTTTCGAAAGCTTTTATTTATTAATGAACTGAGTGGACTCAGATGAAACTTACTTCTCGAGCACTAACGATGAGTTGGTTGCCGCAAAAGTTGGTCGACCTCTGGCTCCGACGTTCACTTGGAAATAGCACTCGGTACACAGGGTAGTGAGAAACTCCCTGAAAGAAGAAAAATCAAAGTCCATACATGGCAGCCATAAAAATTTTAATGGGTGGCATGAGTACTAACCAAAACATGGCGAGCGGCAGTGGTTCCTCAACGGCTACCGTAGCCTTTCAGTGAGAATACAGAACTTTTCTTGCGCACAATCTCGAGTGCGGAGGGCGCACGTCTTGTCAACCGGGCGTTTGAAATTTCCAAAGAGGGTGCCGGAAACCCTCATAGTCAAAGGAAATGTTACGAGCGCAAATTGCAGATTTTCCCAGTTTTCTGGCTAAACGCGTGGCCGAATGCTAGCAATAAAATCCACTTGTATTCGATATCGCCTCATCCCCCTCCGCTGACCCATTTACACGTTCAATTTTTTTTAGGACAGATGAGCTGTCCATGGTATTCACCCATACTGGTTACTTATATGCCCTTGACTAGCCTCGGCTCCTACGTTTTTATCCAATTGGTAGTACCTGTCAGACAGATCTCGTGAAGAGTGAACAACCCCGAACATTCTCTTTCCAAGTCAGACAGTTTAAAAAAAAATCTTGTCACATATATTCCAAGTTCCCTCATCTTGAAACCTCGGCATTCCTGTTGTTGTAGCTGTCAATTTTGCTTCTGCCTCGAGGTTGTTAAGTGGGAATCTTTACTCTGGCCAACGTTTCGAAGGACTCGTCCTTTTTAAAGGCCTCACATCCACCGCGAAGTGGCACTACGCTACCGATCAGTACATTAGTAGCGAATCGCTCCTTTCTAATCTGAATAAATAAATAATCGAATACTAATGTACTAATCGGTTAGTACATTAGCACACGCTACTAATGTGCTAACCGCGTAGCGTAGTGCTACACTTCACGGTGGAAGTGAGGCCTTTGAAAAGGACGAGTCCGTCGAAACGTTGGCCAGAATGAAAATTCCCACCTAACAGCCACGAGGCAGAAGCAAAATTAAAAATTTCTTGTTACATACTCATTCCTTAAAATACTCGTTTGCCGTGAATGCGTCATCTCTACTGTGAACTATTGAGATTTGAAAACAATAACTTATTGAGAAAAACTACCTTGAATCCTGAGGTATCACTGGGCTGGTGACGGGGAGCTGCTCGTTCATCCACTCGAAATTCCAGTCAACCTGATATAGAACTTAGAAGCTTTGAGAAGAAGCTGTTTTTTTGTTTCAAAAGATTTTTGAGCTTTCTGCAAAGGAATTCTATTTCTTCAGTCAAATTGCAGGAACACTTCATCACCCTGCATTCAGAAATTTGTGAATTTCTCGAAATTTTGAGGTCAGTACAGAATTAAAGGTTATTTGCTCCTTAATGTCTAGCTATCATCTATCTGCCGTACCAGACTATGCCGTAAACTGCTCTCGATTGAATGCATTCTCTATTTTTCTTCTTATCGAATAAAAAAACCAACATTGTAAGTAGGGCTGCACAACAGCAGGTGCAGGAGGCTACTTTCGGCACCTCCCACAGCTGCGAAAACTCAGCTGGAAACGTTTGGAGGTGGATAGGTGAACATTAACAGTAGACCCCGCCGGAGCGCGAACTGTCAGAGCCTTCTAGTGCCTTCCAATAGCGAAAGGCTTCGTGACAAATTGTAACTGTTTGCGGTAAAAAATCCAGAATTTAGTGAAGAAACTCATTCTAATCTGTATGGTATGTTCGAGACTACGTTGCATCAGTTTTGTGGAACATGGTCATTGGTGCACCGGCAACAGAATGGTGACCGAGAAGCCTCAAGAGTGAGTGATGCGCCTCGACTCTTACTTATTATAGTTTGCAACCTCGTTTACACGCGACAGTTGTATGTGAATCAGACTTCGAAACGTCGCAGGTTCAATGCCCGATGGGAAGGACGTTGATCTCTATAGTCAGATCTTCTAGAGTAGAAAAGACTCAAAACATCAGGGCGTGACATTAAGAGAAGCGCCCTTCGGGTAACGCGATGAACAAGCTGTGGCGTTGCTACCGTCGCCTACAATGAGCAAGTTCATGGTAGGGCCTTGCTAATAGAAAGAATCACAAAGACTGGTTGATTCACGGAAGCTCAGATGGTGCAATAAAGAGCCTGTAGGCATATTGATATTCCTGATGTCCTATTCTGACTCGTTTCCTTTTTCTACCGATCGTCATGTTACTTTGTAGTAGGCTGGCCTTACACCCTTATGCTCCCTATGGCACAAACAGAAAAAGGCAGCCACCGAACCTAGTTGGGAAGAGTGCAGGAGAAAAGCCGGTGCTCTACGGCAGCGTGGGAATCCTCAGTTCTCGAGTTCAAAACGGTGCAAACGCTGCAGGATAGGGGTTCAAAATTTTTGACGGTAATCCAGTGTTTGATACAGAAGAACTCAACCAGAACCTAGGGGGAGCAGATAGCTTACTAGGCTCAGAATAATGAGCATGGGATGCAAATTCTAAATTTATTCCCTTGGAGATCACTCGACTCCGAATAATAATGATTGCAGCCACATTTACAGTTCATACCTACCACCACACGGGAACCGGGAACCGTCCTCATTTTGTAGTAAGAAAGAAGTTAAATACGGATTCAAAAAGAAAATCCGTCAATTAAACAACGTGTTTCCAAAAGTGGTTTCCTCAAAGGAAAAATATAGCCACTGTCAAAAGATACTTTCGGTTATCAGCTAGTTAACAGCAGAAGTTATACTGCAAAGGCAGATGCTCACTAATCGTTCACTTCTTGGGCATATGCAATTTAAGAAAGAAAAATTATGCGAAGAAAAAAATTTGAGAGGAAAACAGAGCTGTTTAAAAAGTTTCATCCGGTCCTCTCTGCTGCAATGAGAAATGGCTTTTCACAACCGCACCAGCATGGTGTAGAAAAGAAGTGATTCGCTGACCTGCTCTAGTAGTTCATTGACGATTCCATCTTCGATCCATACCGTAATAACATCATCACCGTTCAGCTCGACTTCGAGGAGAGTTGAGTTCACAGCGTCTTCCAACAACGAGACCACAGGAGTTTCTGTCTAAATAAGAAGTTTCTGACAACAATCATCCACAGTGTAGAGCCTCCATTGTTGCAGCTTTAAACTGTTAGAGCCATTATTACATGGGTGCTATTCTAAAGAGGCTGTTTTTTCGCACAGTTTCTTTTCATCCATTTCTAACCCCGACCAATATAAGAACGGTGTTGAAGTAAACAAGGCTCTGAAGGTGCCCCTATTGTTAGCTATATCCACCATAAGCCTCGTGTAAGTTATGTTCCCAGTCCCGCTAGCCAATCTATTTAATTTGAGTTTAAACAAATAGCAAAGTGGACGGAGTCTAGGTTGCCTACAATTTAAATGGTCCACAGCAAAGAGTCAAACCCGAACTGAGTAAGTTTCTCTTCTCTTTGGACTTGAACAAGTGACGTGAGCGTTTCTAGGAAGACGAGAACACCGTATTTGTTGTGTGATGACATTCATTCGCCTATTCCTCTGTAGACCACTTAGACAGTCGAATGCTATTTCTAAATTTTTGAACGTAGCCCGATATATGAGGTGGATAAGGCCAATCGTGATTTTACCCCATACCCTACCTTTCCTTCCCTTCATTTCTCACCCATTGAGTGATATCGAATCGAAGGATACGAATCATAAAGGGACACAGATCACGCGCCGATGAACACAGCTGGACGCCTCTCAGTGAAAACGAAAGGATATGATGTAATGAAATCCCCACTATCGCTTGAATTGCTATACGAGGAATACTGTGAGAAAACATATTTCTTTCAAAAATGTAATTAATCCATGATGAATTAAAAAAATCAACCAGCGCTGATTTGCTTTCGCTTTTCTGTAGGTGTTGCCAAGACAAAATTCTTGAAAACGATAAAAACATTTCTTCGAATCTTATACTACAGAGCGGAGGTGGTTTAACAGCAGGTGGCGCCTATTTCACACGCTTGGCCACAGGATCGAATCCCGGATCATTATCCAAAACAGAACAGCCTTTCATAACGCCGGGGTATGTAGGCTGGTACCAGACTCGCTTGAGTGTATAAAAGCACTGACTTTTACCTCGGTTGGCCGCCGCAAGTTACTGGTAAGGCCACATGCGCATTCAGTACGCCACTACAGGTCCGAATGGAAGGTGAATCTCTCAGACGGGATTGATTAACGCCCAAATACTTAACCCTTCAGTATTCACCCTTATACTGTAGTACTGCAATCACAATTCGAATAGAGATTCATGCTTCCCTGTTCGTATTCTATGTGATGGTTCACTATTCCTCATCTGGGTAGTAGAAAGAATGATGGTTATTGTGAAAAGAGACAGCACTGCTGGCTCACATTTTCCACAACACTACTTGGCTCCCTTAAAAAATGTACCAGACTATTTAACAGTGTGGCAGTAACATGGGAAAGTTTTTTCTTTCAGAAAGTTAATTGAATATTTCTGAAGAAACATCTGAAGTGTTGTTCGGTGAGAAGCCAACTTTATTTCCGGAAATTCTCACCAATGAATTATTAAAATGAGATTGTAGGAAAAATTTCGCAAATTAAAGTGGCCAAGCGATTCTACTTTCGAGTTCTTCAAAAAATTCTTGCACTTCATCTGCAAGCTCATCATCAACGAGTCCTCCTACATGCTAGGAAAACCGAGGCCATTCACCCCAAATAATCGGAAATACCATTTTGTAAATGCACTGGAAATCTCACATCGCCGCCTCTTTGTTCTTCAAACATTTCTTTTCATCTCTTTTCATTTCTTAGGATCATTACTGAAAAATGTTCAAACTCACAATATCAACCCATTCAAGCTGCGCTCGAGCAGTCAGCTGGTGATCGTTCACGTTGATATTTTTCAGCCTTGAACAGTAAATCTTTTCGTAATCAGAATGTCTAAGGTCTCAGGCTCAGCAATAGATATCTGGGTACCAAAAGATATGGAGCCGCCCTCCTTTCCCCTCACCTATTACTGAAAATTTCTTGATAAAACAGATGATACTGAAATAAAACAGGCTATTGAAATTACCTGTAGTAAAGAGTAGTGTCGTTTCTTGTCACGTACGATCGAAGTTTTTCTGGTATCAAGTCGTACACTGGGAACCGTCTAAATCCAGCATCTACAGTTAGACCAACGTTTCTTTGGTAGCAACACGAACTATTTCGTAGTAATGTTATCTATAGTGATGGATCACTACACCCCTTGATCCTCGTAAAGCGCAGTCTATCGTAAAAAGTAAGAACCGGAATCCAGGGGCATAAATCGGTGCACCTAGGCAAATACTACTTCTTCAAAAACATCCTCAGACTCATTTCACGTCTGGTCAACCCTTCCGTCATTGAACCAGAACACTTCCAAAAATAAAGACGGAAAATTTTGATAGGTTACAGGGAAATACAGATCGTGTTGTTCAGATGAATTGACTGAATTGGCCTTCACCATCATTGTCTATATCAAAATCACCACTGGACAACTTTTGACTAAAGGTCTTGAGGAGAAATCGAATGCATGGCGTATCCCGAAAACTTGAAAAGGAAATTGGCGGTTGCACGAGTTTCGAATAGGTCTGTTATTTGTTGTTACTCAATAGCCTTTGATGAACGTTCGTACCGATTACCCTCGTTCGACCTTGACCGGCACCCCATCCACCTCACAACTATCTGAACCATCGCCTCCCATCCGAAACCAGACCCTCGTGTTTAAACAATGCACTCACATGACTTTGCTTGCCTCCAAGCTGCCGATGTGATGTCGAAGGGCATTGCAAATCATTGAGTCAAGGACAGGAGTCATTATCGATGCGATTGCTGATGCTCCCTGGAAAAGAACGTTGATGTAAACGGCTAGTAGAAGGTCTAGTTCATGTGGTATCTGGGAACGTATACATCGGACACACTCTGTCGGCAATCCAGTGACCTGGAACTGAGGCGGCCAGCTCGGATCCTACCAGAAGGCATTCGCCAAGTGAAAATGTCGTCTCATCGGCATCGAGTCGGATCTCAGCGCGGTGCAGCTGAAGCATACCTATCTCGATCTATCGGTCTGATAAGCTTTGATTTTCTTACCTGCAAACCTAATTCAAGCACCTGTTCTCCCAAACCGAATGGCCAAAAAATTTCGGAGAGGTTGCCATGGGAAAGCAAAGAAAACCTGGACGTTCACTTTGGAGGAGACATGGACAGTAACTGGAAGTAACTCAATAGACTCACTTATCGACAACCACATGTAGAGAGTCTGCATGGAAGACGACGGAAATGTTTTTGTAGTTCACTCGGTTGAGAATGTCGAGATGAGCCAATGATCCCAACGAAGGTGATTCTCGAGTTTTTAGTGTTATCTGAAAGCAGTTAAAGTAGTTAGTTACTAGAAGTCGATTGTCACTGAAATAACAAGCTTTATTTTTCAAGCCTAATTTTTCGTATAACTAGCCACATCAATTTTCAGCATTGGAACTCAAAATCAAAATCAAGACATATTGTAACTGTATCTGATTCAATAATATTACTCTATCATTTAATATCACAGTGTATCATATAATATTACGTAATATCACCTTATATCAAATAAGTTCCCCACTTCGATCCCATAGAACACATGTGACTGCTAACTTTGATTAGTGAGAGACCGTAGAGTCGAGGCGTGTTTTTCGAAAGAAATCTGACAAAAATGTCCTTAATTCCCCCTTCCTCCTTCCTTCCTATTCCCTCCCCGCCCGCTTCCCCCAGGTGATATTGCTAATTTCCCCAGTTCCCACATATCCACCAATGTATTGGCTTGTAAGGAACACTGTGCGACACTGGACTTGTTTTATACGTAATTTATCTGTCGCCGGAGATCTTGGTTGTTCGGAGCGATTATTGATTCGATGGTTGAAGAACAGGTTCAGTCAGACACAGAGGTCGGAGTCAAGCATAGTAGCTAGCCGTTCTCGAAGGAAACACAGTAATCAATAAGAAGTGAGAAAATCCTTGAAACGTTCCCAGATTCAACTATTTTTCAAATGCAGACATAAGCGGTTGAAAGAGATGGAGAGATTCCTATCTATACATTACGATCCATCTGAATTTGCAAAGTAAAATTTACTTTTCCGCACCTCAGCGATTCGCGGCTCCTGCAGGACCCTGGCAGCAGCATGTCGTACAAGTTGCGACACAGCAGCATCACCAAATGTCGCTCCCAATTGGGAAGCGAAACCATGGCAAGAAAGCAAGGCTAGTATAGCCGCTATAAGCATCATAGGAAATAGCTTGTTCGGCGATAGTGCCACATAAGTGGACGAACAAGTCCCAGATAGCTTGTCACCAGAGACAAAGAGTAACTGAGAAGCTTAGATGTGACCGGAACGGGAAATAAGTGTCAGCTAATAACCTGTAGTTGTTAGGTGAGAAAGCGACTGGTGGCCGCCGACGATGAATGCCGGCCGCGCCGTCTTCCCAAACCGGGACAGTCGCGAGGGGTGGGCGGGTAGTGTCGTGTTCGCCGCACTCGCTGAAATGCGCCGTCCGCTGATTGCGCTCGAACTCGCAAGCCTTTTCCAGCTAGTGGTTGTTGTCATCGCAAGACAAGATTTTCATCCACTACTCGAAGCACCGCTGAATTTGCCCGGTGTCCGACTACGCCTATTTCCTTCCGGTGTTTCTTACCTCTCTCAGGTAATCTATGAACAATCACATTGGTTTTGTAACCATTAAGGAAGTGTAAGGCTCATTCACTCCTTCCTTCTGTAGGGTCTCAAATAGACAGTCGCATAGGTTTTCCAACACTAAAAGTCAGGTTTACTCGTTCCCTATTTCTGTAGGATCCCAGACACTGTGAAAAACTGCGGATCACTTTATCCTAAAGATAGATCCTGGAGTCACAGAGTATCTCCTCATCGTTTTTTAGTCTGACTGGTAATTGTACCAAAACTGGCAATCAGACTGTTGAACGATCCCTCATCATTTTCTTCCTACTTGGAATTCTTGGGTGCTTTGGGAATCCTGCATATGTGTGAGGATTCAGGTTGCCAACAATATCCTTGCCGAGCAGCTGCCTCGTATCAACATTCCCAATGTGGAACATCGCCTACCTGGCGACCAGGGAGCCATCTTCATATCACGAATCAAGATCTCAAGGTAAAACAAAGTGTCGTCGATTCAGCCATGACTATCGATCTCTCTAGAAAAGTCTCTTCCAATGACCTCTTAGAAACAATCTTCAATACTATCTAGTAACTCTCGTAACAGAAACATCCTTGATGCAACTTCCTCGAACTACAATATACTTCGTCTATTTGCCAGTCCTAGTTAAAGCCACTCCCAGACATGCTTCAATCTGGTTCCGTGTCAACATGGATATCTCTTATCTAACGAAGGTAGCTTCGCAATCACGCCGACTATATATCTTTGATAACAACCGATGTTTCCTTGTCAGCATATCACCCTCCCAGTTGTTCACCACCCTTCGAGCCAGCCGAAAAGTTGTTCGGAAATTTTGAAGGTTTTTTTCCACGTTAGCCAGAAAACAAAAGTTTTTAGGAAGCTCTCGTTCTGATCAACTAAGTTTTCTTTATCGTAAGTCTTCTGGTAGTGAAAGTTACTATAACGACTACAAGCACCAGAATAGCAAGTCCATAGTCTTTTGTCACTTTTATGATTCAAGTTTTTTACCCGCCAAACCAGAAGTGGATACCATCATAATCATCGCTTTATGGTAGTCTGGGGAACTAGTCGAAAACATGACCCCATTCAGATTTTGCGGCAATCCGGCAGAGATTACTCATTAGGGGGTTTCATTAGACTAGCAGTTGACCCTCCTACCTAGGACAACCTTTCTGCCATGACTTTTGGAAAAAGCTGCTTTTCGAGTTTTTGTTAGACTTTTGTCGGCTGAACAGAGGTTACGGACACCTGGCGTGGCGGAGTTTGAATGTTCTTATAACCTGAAAACTGAAACAAAGGGTTCATTTAGTTTGGCATAGGACCCAATTTATAACTTTTGCGGATAGCTTTCAGTGGAGATTTATGAAGTGCCCTGGGAAGATTTTATCGGCTTCTGCAATTTGTCTCTTTAAAAAACTCTCTTTTGCCGTGTTTTCGAGCTGCCCTGTCAGACCGAAAAACAATGGTTTCCTGAACTGCATTTACGAATGCCAACCCCGTGAAGCTTCAAAAGGAGTACAACCTCTAACAAAATTTTAATATTATTTCTAAAGACGATAAAGGATAAAAGGGCAGAGTTTTTGAGGGTCGATCAATCTCGCTTTCGGGATGCGCCCCCGCATTCGACTTCCTTTCAGAATCGTAGTGGCGTTATAAGTGCGTATGTGGCTTATACAATGACCTGCGGTAGCCAACCGATGTACAAGTCAGCGCTCTTATTCTCTCAGACAGGCCTAGTACAGGTAAGTAGCTCGAAGGGTTGGAAAGTTCGGTTAACCTAAGCGGACATCGATCGAACCCGTGATCATGTGTGTGTGTGTGTGATAGTGCTCCACTAGCCACTACACCACCCCGCCCTTTTAGATGAAGGATAACAGAAAATCAAATCAGTGCTTGAATACACAGTAACTATTACGTAATGCGGTTACTAAAAATTACAAGGCGTTGAATCAATCAACATTTTGTAATTTTGAATCATTTTCATCCGTTGCCTTCTGGAGTTTTTAGATTAGAGATTTTTGAGGATATACGAACCTAAGACAATGGAAAGGCATCTAAGAATGACGGCTGTCACCAATTGATTCACCTATTAGCAACTACCATCTGACTTTATTTAGAACAGATTTTTCCTATTTTATGGTGCCAACCTCTGCAGAGGCTTTCGAATTTTCCTTTCTCGAATGGTGAACGGTGGTGAGCATCAGGACCGGTTTCTAAGCCCTTATTGCATCCTATCTAGGGTGCATTTCGACCCTGCCCCATTGTCCTTCTCAGGAGTGCCAGTCATTCTTGAGGGGATGTTTTCGATGTCAATCCCGTTTCTGGGATGCGTCCCGCATTCGACAACCATTCGACGTGGCGATTTGAATATGCATATGACATATGCATAGAAATGTGGTGGACAGCCGATGTACAATTCAATGCTTTTATCTACCTGAGGAAGCCTGGTATCGAGTAGCTGATCCCGGAAGCATAGAACACTTGGTTGGCCTGAGCAAAAGCAGGTCCGACATTCGATCCCAGGGCTATGCGTGTGTGGTGGTGCGTTACTTGAAACTACACCACCTGCACCCCCCATAGATGCTTGAATATCTACGGAACATTTCTTACAGCAAATTATGCCTTTTAACAAGCGAACAGGATTTCATAACAATATCATCATCCTTTCATCTTTCATCTACAAAATGGTAAACGACTTTCAAAATGGCTTGCTGCCCCCTGTTTTTTCATGGAATCAGAAAGGGGTAGTAAGTTAACGTTGGTAATGTAGATAAGTGGAAGCGTAACGTTCAATAATTCAAAAATCCCAATTATTCAGACCATATTTTGAAACCTTACCCCTTAAATCACAGTTTTCGAAAGTAAGTGAAGTTCAGAGCAGCCAGTACAACACACAAGAGACCGGCTGTTTTTTGTAGATTGAAATCTGTAAATCTCCTCAAAAATATTTCTGTTAGGCAATCTTGCTTACACTTTGTCGCCCCTGAAAATCGTTGTTTAGTAAACTTGTGCATATTACCACTTGCCCGCTACTGATTGTAGTTGCAGTAGCTGCAGGTGCGTGCTGCTTTCCCTCATATCCTATTTCGAAAGTACTCTTACACCTTTCAAAAATAATTAAACTCCACTGCACTTAATCACCCGAGTGCGGCTACCAAACTGACGTGATGATTAGCCTAATAATGCAGCATGCTGCAAATTTACCTATGAACTCACTGGTCAATCCAAAATTTTTGATCCAACAAAGCTTTAGGAGTAAAGTAACGGACGTCGAAAGGCAAACAATTTAAGTGGACGCAATTTTAATTCCTCTCTTGTAAAAGTCTCTGGCATCAAAAATCTAAAAACTGATGCATCAGGTTCCGACGAGCTGAAATTCAAGATGTAACGACGTCTGCTCCAAACCGAATTTCTTGGATCATGAAAAATCTCGACCTAGGGTAATTCTTTCGTAGTTATCCATGAAGCCAATGTTAAATTTTTTTGAGCATTTCAGATTTATTGGAGATTTAAGCGGAGCTGTTAATATCGTTGTCCCATTCAACTTGACAGGCCAAGCAGAAGTGCAAGCTGAAGGACTGAGTGTCCAGCTGGACAGCGCAGTAGGTCCATTTTCCTCTCATTCCATCTGAACTCGGTATCACCGCCTTTGAATTCAGATGGAACGTGGCCCCAATGGCTCCGCTCATATCAGTTCCATCGCCTGCCACTCGACGATTCGCGCAGTCGACGTCGTAAACCACAATGGGGGACTGTTTGGATTGGCTGTCACAGTGTTTAAGGTAATTGATGCAACTGTGGTAAAACGATTTTCGAACTCTCCCTCTCATGGGAGAACTCGGCTAATTGGGACCACTGACCCCTACCCCGACTTCATGGGGAACACCCACCGGCTTAGAACTTGAACAGTGGGGAATCGGGTAGTGGAGTGTTTCATGGATATATAATATACACAACTGGTTCACCTTCTCTCTATTATTTGACTTTTTTCAATAGTTTTGCATCAACGTGAGCAAGTATGTTTTGCAATTGGAAAGCTGTTTTTTTTCAGCAAGGAGTCTCTGACAACGTCCGGCTAATGTTGCAGGGGCTTATTTGCAAAAAAGTCCGCAAATACCTCGACGAGGATTTGAATGAAAAGGTGAGCGATTGGTTCAGAGAGAGCTAGAACGTTCCATGGTCAATTTGGAACTAGTATCATAGCTTCCAGCTGGCTGAAGTGCAAACGCGCAGTCCACTGAGTGAGGCGATTGAAACGAATGCCATACGGGCAACGAAACTATCAAAGGCCGTCGGAGGGGCAACGCTGGGCAGTCTGCTTGGGAAGGTCAGTTAGCTCACCGTAGAAAGTTGGTGGGGTATAACGTACAGTAATCATGTTTTAATAATATTTCGGCGATTCGCGTCTCATCTCTTTTATATTTTCTTGAAGAGTAACCGGATCATGCAGAAAAAAAGAATAAAATCTAACAGATCATGATGAAAACCATTTGAATATTTCAGAGCATATCCAAGGAGTTCTACATCGACTTCAGGTAAGGAAGGATGATGGCGTCATAGCACTCTTAGAGGAAGTAACATAAGACTATTCAGACTCAGAGAAGATCCATTCTGTGGCACGAATATGGTGGATCTTGCATGCGCAGGTGAAATTTCGTACAAAGGTCTAGGCGGGACTCCCTTCGGACCACCGCCGATCGCATGGCTTCGTACTCAATCGGATACTCACATGTTGATGCTGCAGATTTCTGACTATCTGCCGAACTCGCTCTTCTACCATGCTCACAAGTTCGTTTCATTTACTGTTTAAGTCGCAAATCACTTTTACAATGCACGACAACTTGCGAAAATTTCTAATCTGAGAATCATGTTCATTAGAAACTTCAACATATCTCGTACACAGAGACATTACTATCCTAAGCAGTAGGGAAAAAGAAAAACGACGCTTTGCCTGCTAAGGTATACAGANATGTTCATTAGAAACTTCAACATATCTCGTACACAGAGACATTACTATCCTAAGCAGTAGGGAAAAAGAAAAACGACGCTTTGCCTGTTAAGGTGTACACACCTGGAAACTGCCGATTCCGCGCAGAAATGGGCCCACCCCAAAATTCTTTACGATGTTTACACAGCAAGTTACGGGAACATATTAAAAAGCTCTAGAACCAATATTTGAATGAGTTTAGCAATTGGTAATTCAGTGAAACTAAAAAATATTTGTTCGTTCATGTTTCCCCTAACTGGAATGGATTTTATTCGGCCGAAATTTTTGGAAAAGAATTTCCAGGGAAGGGGCAGGTAATATGCTCTAGTTTTACGCCGACAACTGGTGATAACAGCGCTCTGTGAGCGGACCGAATCCAGTGAGCCTCTGACTCGATTGCGCCCCTTCGGTGGTCTTCTAGTAGTACGCGCACCATCGTAAACGCTACTCTCTCAGTTCAGCTGGACAAGGCTGTTCGCATGAAAGCCCTCACGTCTTCATTTCTGATCCAGTCAAGTCGCATCCTAGTGCAGGATCTGTGCACTCTCATTTCCCTATGGTCATTTCATTTTTACTTATAAGCCAGATATGCCACCACTTCCGTAGAAGAGTGGGCCTCACCAGGCAATAGGAACAATGAGAAAATATTTGGCAGTTTTTTGAGGATTCTTCTCATTAGCAGAGCTTGAGCTCACCTTACATATACGATTCAAAACAATTCAGTAGCTGATTCAGTCATGTGATTGCGCCAGACCAATCTATCAAAACGAGATAAGGTAATGGCTAGAACAATCTTCATCGTCTTCTTCTTCTCCTCAGCTCAATCCCGTGCCGTGGCAAAATCTGCTTTTCCTGTTTGTCGTCTCCATTCCCTTCTATCACCAGCTTCTTCTGGCTTGAAATTGGTTTCAGTGAAGTCTTCTTGCGTCTCACCAAAACTAAAACGTCACTACTCATGCGAAATAGCTGGCGTTACCACATCCTTCATCAAAGGTGAAGGCTTATACCTGATCATAGAATTCGCCAAACCGATGAATCACCCCGTTCCACTCATCTTTTCCCCTACTTTGATAAACGTGATCATGTTATGATTTTCTTTCTGTATTCGTGGATGAAGGTGGTGAGCGTCCAATCATACCAGAATGCACCCACAAATTTGACTTTCTTTCATATTCGAACGGGTAATCGAGTTTCACAAAGACGGGAAGAGCTGATCGTCGAACCTTTTGACCTGTGTTTTTAACCCGGCTTACGCATCAAACACGAGGGAAAACATCCTTTGCCGAATAAGGGGCGGCGTCATATTTTGAGTCATAAAGTGTAGAAGTTTTCTATATTTCACAAAGGATTTCTATTGGTTTTTCCGAATTTGTTGAAATACTGAACGAAATCAGAGGGAACCACTTCGAAGGCATAAAAACGGCTCATATGATATCCCGTTAGTTTAAATCTGTAGCCCTCTCGTATACCATATGTGGGGCTTGAGACCGAAAATGATCCGATATTGGGGGGGCTAAGGGCTAAAAGATTGTCCCGTGTGTATGCGCGGACGACTTTCAACGGCATTGTAGAGGCAGCTCCATTCACTAGGGAACCTATGTATGACTATGTATGACGTTCAAACAACTTGTTATTTCATATGGCGACAGTGAAAAAGCAGTGTTGAACAGTTTTGGCCTGCTGTAGTGAGCTCTTTGCACAATTGCAACACATGAAACCTCGTCATGGTAAACTCGTAAAGCCTCTATTTTCGCTACTCTTGAAGGGCTTTAGCGAATTTCTTCGCTTTCTACACCATCGATGCACTATTCCCAACCAATGTTTCTGCTTTTTGATTCAAGAGGGGTACCTAATTATCGTGAACTGTGCCTTTAAGAGAATCAGGTATGTCAGGACTATCAAATTGAATCTCTTTCTTATCACTGCCTGATCGTTTTTGTAGGCAGCGACTCATTCGTCTTCATCTGTCACCGTCCTCGCCCGGAGTGTCACAATTTCTTCAAACTTCATGCGAGAACTCATTCTGTATCGCAGATTTGGTCCCTCAACTGGCTGAAACCTATCCCAACCATACGCTTGAGCTCTCCCTCGCTTCTACTCGAGCACCAGCTGTACTATTTTCCGAGAAGAAGGGAGGTGAGAAATTTCAATTTTCCTTCTAAAAGAGTTTCTCGGTAAGCTTCATGTTCAGGTGTTATTTCGGTGAGCTTGGGTGGAGTGGTGGTGGTGTTCGTTTTTGACGGCGTACGTCGAAAACAAGCCGCTGTACTGGACGTCGAAATAGTGGCCGACGCAAAATTGAATTTGCAGGTACGCCATATTCCAAAAGCAGTTTTCGAATGTGGACACGATTTTTTAGGATCGGACAGTGAGTGGAAGTGTGCAGTTGACCAAGTTCGAGCTGTCGAGTCGTTCCGGGACGGTAAAGATTTCGAGGGACGAGCTTTCCGACATCTCCATTCTCGTGTCCCAAATGATCGAAAACATGCTGAATGAAATGCTTACCAATGGGTTTCCACTACCACTGCCACATGGTGAGTAGTAATTTTCATAACTAATACACAATACTGCTATAATGAAAAATACTTTTGGCTTGATCAACAGTTCTAAAGTAGGGCTCTCAGTCTGGATGATTGCAAACCGCCCTTATTGCCTAAATATGTAGCTCAATTTCCCAAACATATCCAATCTATTGATCTAATGGACGTTAGCCTCTACTGAACACTTCCTTTGCTGTTCCTCTCGTCTCCTATAACCGAAATTTGTCTCGGTGAATCTCTAGAATCTCTTTAAACATCGCGCCCATTGGTGGCCTACGCATTGTTTTTTTTTTAGCCCAAATCTAAACCGAAGCTTGAGCTCGAATTGTTGCCGGAGGTGGCTTTTTCATTCCTGCTTCTAAATCAAAAAAGACCTGACACCTAACTCAACGGAACCGGTCACCCTTTCTCTGCTTTTTTCTAGCAGCAGTGGATCCATTCTCTCGATGCTAATTGCATCCGAAAGCAGTTCCCGATTAGCACCGCTTTTGTCCAAACCGGACCTGAAAGGCGTCCTGTTGGGAGCGCTTTCGATATACAGTAAATTGTTTCAATTGAGTGTGGGGAGGTGTAATGGTTAATATCCTCCCTATTAGGGTCTGAGCAAGCAAAATTTTGAACCTCTGGGGGACTGGGAAATATTGGGTTGTAACATAAGTTCGTAGAGTTTTTTCACAAAGATTTATTTAAACCAAAAAACAATAATTATAATAATAAATTAACCAATGATGTATCCTCCGTTACTGTTCACGACCTCCTCCCATCTCTCGACCAATTTGTTGAGGCGATTCGCCGAAAATCGGCCGTTGTGGTGTCGAAGAATTTGTTGAGCCAGTTTTTAAGGTCCCCTTCGCCATCAAAGGTAACACCCCTCATTGGATTTACCATGTAGCGGAAAAGGTGATAGTCGGCAGGTGCAAGATCCGGAGAGTGCGGTGGATGCTGAAGAACCTTCCATTCAAGCTCTTGGAGTGCTGTTTTGACGACTTGAGCAATATGGGGCTTGGTGTTGTTGTGGAGCAAGATGACTTGACCACCTCTATAAGGTCTTTTCAGCCGAATAGCCTCATTTACACTGTTCAGCTGGGTAATGTAGACCTCCTTGTTGACAGTGGCGTTTCGTTCGAGCAGTTTCCCAGTGCACCATGCCTACCTAGTCCCACCAAACGCAGATCATGACCTTTTTTTGAGTGAAGATCTTGCTTGACTCTCGGCTTCGGCGCCTTTCCTGGAGCCACCCACACCTTTCAGTAGACACACCTAAGACACCTTCCCCGTACACACTGCATATGTCCCGAGCGGTTTCGGCTGCTTTTTTGACCTCGACGAGGAGCAAAGAAAAGCAGATGTCGAAAATGCTAAGTTTTTCTTCCTGGATATTCCATTTCTGAGCCCGAA